TGAGCATGTTAATACACTAAAGAGAAAGGGGACACAGGGGAAAATTTGATATTGGTTAAAACAACCTAAATCCCTTTCACCTACATCCACATCGCAGAGAATTTTTTTGGATCTTTAAACTAATACATGAGAGAACAATATTACATGGTAAAACTCCCATTTCTGTTAACAAGTAAACATTCATAGGCAAATAAATGGTTAGAGACTCTTAACTTTTATAGTTATTAGTGAAATAACACACCTGAAGTACTAGAATTTATAATAAGCAATCTGTATAGTTATTTCATTCAATGCTCATAATCCTTTAAGGCTGGTATTAATAATGATTTTTTTCAAAATGGGAAATTGAAGTTCAGAGATTAAATAATGAGCCTAATAACACAAAACTAGTAGAAATACACTTGTTTCCCTCAAAGCCCATGCTCTTTCAATACTCTTCTGGCTCTGAATTTTAATATCAATTGAGCCCAGAAAGTAATTTTAGTGCTCATAAGATGCAACCATGAATGTAAGGGTCAAAAGTTACCATGGCAATTTACTATTATTATGAATAAAAAGACATATGATGAAGATAATAATAATAATAATAAGAAGAAGAAGAAGAAGAAGAAGTAACACTTACAGAGCCAGTACCATGTGTCAGGCACTGACCCAAAGGGGTCACACAGTATTTAATTAAATTCCTGTAAGTATTACCCTTATGAAAATAGTAAGGCTTCTGCTTCCAGTAAGGTGTAGTGGTCATAATTTTCCCTATTTCTCCTGCTCAGTACAACTAAACGCCCTGAAAAAATATAAAATATGTATCACAAATATATGAAGAAAGCTGGTGAACTTAGGACTCAAGAGACCATACAGTGGTGAGCTCCTTGGGTTTTATTTTTGCCTAATATGTCTCAGATACTGACGAAGCTGACAACACTGAACACCAATGGACACACACATAAATAGTTCCAAAAAAACTAGTCTCATTAGCCAGAGGAACAGGAAAAGGAGCAATCTGGCAAGGCAGAAGAGTTCTGACCATATCTGACATACCACAAAAAAACTGAGTCTCTACACCTGCCCATGTCAACAAAAGTGGAAAGGAGAGCCTAGAATTCCACCTCTGCTAGGCTGCGATGAGGGGCCTCCACTCTCCCCTTCCCATGCCCCACTGGACTGGTGTCAAGAGAAGGCTGAGTGGGAGCCAGGATGTTAATCTCTGCTAGAAGGTGACAAGTGTCCGCCACCTCCTGGCACACATCAGTGGAGATAACATGGCTCATGGGGAGCCTGTACTTCTACCCCAGCTGGCAATGACACTGCATCCCTCCCTCTCCTTGCTGGGGTGGATTGAGAGGCCTCCTGAAGAGTTAGGAATTTCATCACCACTCAGTAGAGATAAGGTCGCCCCCACCTGTCAGCAGAGACCACACAAGGAGCAGCAACAAGGCACTCGTCCTGCCCCAGTCAGAGTGGGATGAGAGAGTGCGGAGGGGGGAGCCTGAATGCCCAGCTCAGTCTACAGGGAAAAGGAGCCTCTCCTGCCCCAGGTGTCAGCACAGGTGAGGCAGGAGATCTGGACTTCCACCCTGACCGAGCTATAATGAGGTGGTTACCTCCACAGAACATTGTCAAAAACACCCACTAAAACACAAAATGTAAACAAGATTTAGAGTCTTATATATTGGATATATATCCAAGAGCCAGGAATATACCAAACTGAATGAGGAAAAACAACCAATAGACACCAACACTGAGATGATGCAGATGTCAGAATTATCTGCCAAGAACTTTAAAGCAACCATCATAGAAATGCTTCAATGAGCAGTAACACACATGCTTGAGGCAAATGAAAAAAACAGAAAGTTTCAGTATAAGAAACAAACGAACATTTTATAACAAACACAATAACCAAATAAAATGGAGAAATAGGAAAAAATTAGCTTGATGACACAACATTAGAAACTACACAATCTGAATATTGTGTAATACAATGAAAAAACAGGCTGAAAACAGAAGGAACAGACTTAGAAATAAATGAGCAAGATCAGAAGAGCATGTGAGATTGTGATGAAAAGCCTATTACTCTTGTCTGACAGCGGAGTAACAAAAGAAGAGGAAAAAGAGAGTCAGACTGTAAAACTACTTGAAGTACTAATTACTGAAAATGTCCCAAATTTGGCAAATGATAAAAACCTATAGATTCAGGAAGCTGTGAAGCCCAAACAAGATAAATCTAAATAAATCTATGCCAATGCACATCATAGTCAAACTTCTGCAAACTAAAGACAAAAAAAATTCTTGCAGGCAATGAGAGAGAAGCATCTTACCTTATAAGGGAAAACCAATTTGAATGACAATGGCTTTACCATTAGGAATTATGGAGGACAGAAAGAATGACATAATAATTTTTAAGTGCTGAAGTACAAGAATTGTCAACCCAGAATTCTATGTTCATCAAAAATATCCTTTCAGAATGAAGGAGAAATCAAGACATTATGAGGTGGAGGAAAAATAGATTTCTCCTGAGCAGACGTACTCTGAAAAGATGAATAAAGAAGTTCTCTAATCAAAAGGTTAATGATAAAAGAAAGAATCTTGCAATATCATAAAGGTGTCAAGACAGAATAGAGTAAAAGAAACAATATGGTTACATACAACAGACTTCTATCTCTTCTTGTTTTGTAAATTATGTTTGATTATTGAAGCAAAAATTTTAATACTGAATAATGTGTCTCTCAATGTATATAAAAGATTTAAATTTAAATAACTTGAAATTTAAGATATTTAAAACAACTATATAATGAGTATATGAGAGAGGGTAAATGAAAGTAAAAGCATAAAGTTTCTGTTTTACTCAAACTGGTAAAAGATTTACACAAATATTGTCATAAAATATATTTTTTCACACAATATGTAATATTGTAAAATACTTATCTACTTAATATAAAATATACATGCTGTATTATAGTTAGCATATTTACTAAACATATATATTATACATACTTATTATTTAATCTTACATATAGCTGAATCAAAACGGAATTCTAGAAAGGGTTCAAGTAAACCACAGAGAGACAAAAAACAGAGAACAATTAAAAAAGACTTAAGTATGAACACATCAATAATTGCACTAAATGTAAATGGTCTGTGTACACCAATTAGAAGACAGATACTAGCAGAGTAGATTTAAAAAAAAATTTAACCCAACTCTGCACTTCCTACAAATAACTCACTTCAAATAGAATGATATAAGCAGGGTGAAAGTAAATGGATGGAGAAAGATATGCTATGCAAGCATTAATTAAAAGTAATCAGGTGTGAATATATTTATATTAGAGAAAGTAGATTTCAGCAAAGAAAATTACAAGGGACAGTAAGGATTATCATAATGTTATTCAACCAAGAAGATATATCAAATGTAATTGTGTATATATCAAACAATAGTGCTACAAAATATGTGAATCAAAAACTGAATGAACAGGGAAAATAACAGATGAATGTACTATTATAACTGGAGATTTAAACAACCCTCTCTCTAAAATTAATAGGACAGGAAGACAGTAAGCCAGCAATGATATGTCAAAACTCAACATCATCAACAAACAGAATCTTATCAATATTTATAGAAAACTCCACCCAACAACAGAATACACATTATTTTCAAGTGCCTATAGAACATGCACCATATCCTAACCCACAAAACATATCTCAAATGACTTAAAAGAATTGAAATCACACTGACTATGTTCTCTAACCACAATGTAATCAAACTAGAAATCAAAAAGAGAAAGATAACATGAAAATCTCCAGGCACTTGGAAAATAACATACTTCTAAATAATCCATAATTCAGAGAAAGTCTCAAGAGAAATTTTTTTAAAAAACCACCAAACTGAATAAAAACAATTTGTAATACTGTGTATCAAAACAATGCTGAGAAAAATTCATAGCAGTAATGCTTATGTTAGAAAAGAATAAAAGTCTCAAATCAATAATTTAAGCTCCTACTTCAAGAAACTAGAAAAAGGAAAGTATAATAAACTCAATGTAGGCAGAAGAAAATAAATGATAAAGTGCAGAAATCTATACATATTCAATCTAGAATACAGAAAACTGTGGAGAAAATCAATGAAAAAGAGTTTATTTTTTGGCAAGTTCAATGAAATAGACAAACCTTGAACAACACTGACAAAAAATAAGAGAAGACAAATTACTAATATCAGGAATTAAACAGAGGAATCACTACAAACCTTGAAGACATCAAAAAGATATGAGAATACTATAAACTCCACATAACAATTTGATAGTGCAGATAAAATGGACCAATTCCTCAAAAAGTACATATTACAATGCTCACCCAAGATGAAATATAAAATTTGAAAAGTCCTATAACTACTAAGGAAATTAAATGTACCAAAATTTAAAAAAAAGAATTAACACCAAAATCTATACAGTTTCTTCCAGAATATAGAGAAGGATCCCAGATAATTTTACTAAGTCACTATTACTGTGGTACCCTAGATAACAAAAAAAATTCCCAAAACTATAGCTCAATATCCCTCTTAAATACAGACACAAAAATTATTTTTAAAAATTAGCAAAAATTTCAGCTATGTATGAAAGGTATTATGCACTCTGACCAAGTAGGTTGATCCAGGGAATGTAAGGGTGGTTCAGTGTTTGAATATAAAGAATGCAATCCACCACTGAAGCACGCTAAACAAGAAAAACCTTATCTAAACTGACACAGTGCAAGCATTCAAGGAGAAGTGCAACACCTATTCAGGAGAAAACCTCTCAGCAAACAGGGAATAGAGAAATTCCTCAATTTAACAAAAAACATCTACAAAAAAAAATCTATAGCTGAAACTATACTAAGTAGTGAGAGAATGAATGTTTTCATTTTAAAACGAGGAAAATGGCAAGGATGTACACTCTTACTTACCCCACTATTCATCACAGTGCTAGAAGCTTAGACAGCTAAGGCAATAAAATTCTACAAAAGGTACTTACATTGGAAAGGAAGAAGCAAACTGCCTCTATTTTTACAGATGACAAGACTGTTTACATAGAAAATTCCATGTAACCTATAAAAACATTCATACAACTAATAAGTGAACTAGCAATGTCACAGGATAAGATCAACATATGAAAATGAATTGTTTTTCTATAAACTAGCAGTGAACACATGGAAACCAAAATTTAAAATATAATACACTGTATTAAGTAGCTCAAAAATAACAGAAATACTATTAAATTTTGGTATATTTTGGCATAAATCTACCAAAACATGCACAGGGCTTGTGAATTGAAAATTACAAAATGCTGAAAAAAGAAACCAAAGAAACCTAATAAATGGAGAGATATGCCATGTCTATGAATTGGAAAAAAATCAGCATAGTAAAGTTGTCAATTCTCCCCATATTGACTATAGGTTTAACACAATTCCTATCAAATTGCAGCAAGATTTTTTTGTAGGTACAGGTAAGATTATTCTAAAACTTATATGGATAAACAAGGAAACCAGAATAGCTAACAGAACTTTGAAAAATAATAATAATAATGTGGGAACAATCAGTCTAGCTGATTTAAAGACATATTTTATAGTTTATAGTAGTCAAGATTATATGATATTAGTGAAAAGATTGACAGAAAGATCAGAACAGAATATATCACTAAGAAATAGCCCACTCAAGTAAAGCCAACTGTTTTTTAACTCAAGTTCAAACACAATTCAATGTGTAAAGATAATGTTTTAACAAATAGTGTTGAAGCGAATGGATATCCACAAGCAAAAAACTGAACCTGTAAAAATCACACTTCAAACTCAAAATGGATCATACATTTAAATATAAAATGTAAAAACTATAAAACTTTTAGTGGAAAATATAGGAGAAAATCTTTATGACCCAAGGTTAGTCAAACAGTTCTTAGATATGACATTAAAAGCACAATCCATGAAATACAGGAAAAAAGTGAATAGACAGATTTTTATCAAAATTAAAAACTTCTGTTAAAGACCCTGTGAGAAGATGAAGATAAGCTACAGGCTGGGAGAAAATACTTGCAAATGAAATCTGATAAAGGATTTATATCTAGAATATGTAAAGAACACTTAAAACTCACCAGTAAAAAAAAAATCCAATTTAAAAATGGACAAAAGACATAAAGAAATTCTGCAGCAAAGAGAACATACAGACGAACACATGAAAAGATGTTCAATATCATTAGTCACTAAGGAAATACAAGATTAAGAATACAATGAAATATCACTACCCATCTATTAGGTTGGTTAATAAAAAAATAGTGGTAACACCAAATGCTTGAGACGGCACAAAAGCTTGTATCACTCATACGTTGTTAGTGGAAATTATTTAGAAGTTTATTAAAAAGCTAAATACAAGATGGTGACCCCATCTGGCTAGGAAACTTGGCACTTCTGCCTGATTCAATCCCCCAAACAGGAGCCTGTAGTCTGTTTTGCTGCACTGCCTGGGCAGGGAAGCTAATTTTTAACATCATGTAGCCCATCAGGAAAGCTGACCAGGACCAAAATAAGGTTGTACAGTTTCACCATTATTCAGTATAATAGTGGATGTTCTAGCCAGAGCAATCAGGAAAGACAAACAAAATGCATCAGAATGGAAAGGAAAAAGTAAAATTGTCTTTGTTTAGATGACATTTTATTAATAGAAAATCCTAAAACTGCACTGAAAAAAATACCCAATTATTATAAATTAATTCAGTAAAGTTGCAGGACACAAAATCAACATACAAAAATCAGTAGCATTTTTATACACTAACAACAAATTATCTAAATAAGAATAAAGAAAACAATCCCATTTTACAATAGCAACAGAAACAATAAAATACTTAGGAATAAATTTAACCAAGATGAAAGATTTATACATTGAAAAGTATAAGACACTGATGAAAGAAGACACAAAAAAATGGAAAGATGTCCTGTGTTCATGGATTGGAAGAATTAATATTACTAAATGTCTATACTATCCAACCCAGCTTTAGAGTCAATGCAATCCCTACCAATATTCCTAAGTCATTTTTCACAGAAATAGAAAGAACAAAATTCATATAGGACTACTGTAGACTCCAATAGCCAAAGTCCTGAGAAAGAACAAAGCTAGAAACTTCACACATCTTGGATTTAAACTATATTACAAAACTATAGTAATCAAAACAGTATGGTACTGGCATAAAAACAGACACATATACTAATGGGAAAGAATCAAGAGCCCAGAAGCAAACTTACACATATATGGTCAGCTAACATTTGACAAGGAAGCCATGGATACTCAATGGAAAAAAACAGTTTCTTCAATAAGTGGTGCTGGGAAAATTGAATATTCATATGTATAAGAATGAAACTAGATCCCAGTCTCATACTACTCACAAAACCTAACTTGAAATCAATTAAATATTTTAATGAAAACCTGAAACTATAAAACTCATAGAGTTAAAATAGGAAATAAGCTCATTGACACTGGTAATACCAACAGGTTTTTTTTGTACATGATACCCTAAGCACAAGCAACAAAATAAAAAATAACTGGGACTCCATCAATCTAAAAAGCTTCTACACAGTAAAAGAAATGATCAACCAAATGAAAAGGCAATTCATGTATCTGATAAGGTGTTAATATCTAAAATAGATCTAAGAAATTTACATAACTCAACTGCCAAGAAACTACAAATAACCCAATTAAAGATGGGCAAAGCAACCTAAACAGATATCTTTCAAAAGATATTTGAATGACCAACAGGTACATGAAAAGGTGCTCAATATCACTAAACATCAAGTGAATGCTAATCAAAAACCCAATATATCAGCTCACAGTTGTCAGCATGGCTATTGTCAGAAAGATGGGCAATAGCAAATGCTGTTAGGGATAGAGAAAAGGGAATCCTTCTACACTTCGTGTAACTGTAAATTGGCATAGTCAATGTAGAAAACAGTATAGAGGTTCCTCAAAATTTAAATACAAGGGGCGAAGCCAGGATGGTGGCGTGAGTAGAGCAGTGGAAATCTCCTCCCAAAACCACATAGATCTATGAAAATATAACAAAGAAAATTCTTCCTAAAATAGAGACCAGAGGACACAGGACAACATCCAGATCACATCCACACCTGCAAGAACCCAGCGCCTCGCGAAGGGGGTAAGATACAAGCCCTGGCCCGGCGGGACCCGAGCACCCCTTCCTCCGGCTCCCAGCAGGTGGAAGGAAACCAGAGCGGTTTTTTTCTTTTGGCGAGTGCTTTTTGGAAGACTTAAAGGGACAGGGACCCCAGTGCCAGGGAAACAGGACGGCAGGACTGGTGAGCGGGTGCCTGAGACTGGCACCTGAGGACAAAGAATATCGCGCGTTTTTCCCTTTTTTTTTTTT